AAAAAAAAAAACAAAATATTTTATTACGCCAAATTATCGTTTTAGAGAGTCTGTTTTTTATGTGAATCAACCTTTCATACTAATTGAATAAAATTAAATACATATATTAGCAATCGAATAAAATTAAATACTTATATTTCTTAATAAAACTATGCATATTTACAAAAATGGTATGTCGTATTAACACAAAATAATTGTTTTACTTTGTTAATCGTAGGACGTGCACTCCAATAATTAATTAAACATTCATAAAGCAGTGTAATTACTTGATTTGATTTGAGATATTTAACTGTCCTAAGTTTGATAATAAAATTATGAGTTGGTGAGATTGGATAAATAAAATATTTAAGTATGCAATGAATTAAGGGTGGGTCATTGATTAGGTAAGTAATTATTCAAGACTCAATAGTCATGGCATCCACTATTATATATGACTTCAATTAATTTATAATTATTGACTTTTTAGAATTTTAGTATAATAGTCGTTATTATGGCTAGTACGTAACCCGTGCGATGCACGGACTGTATTTATTTTGAGGAATATTATAATTTGAGGTGTATTAATAAATAAAACGTGATATTACGTAAGTAAATTGTCAAATTATAAAATATTCATTATGAAATCATAATATATTATTAAGAACTTCATTGTACACTATTATTACTTTGATTATTTGGCAACTCGTTGTCCCCAAGAACTAATATTTTAAACTCATTTCTATTACTTCATGCGAAACAACAACATATAATAGACGTGACTAAAAACTAATTTACTTAGGAAAATGTCAACGTACGATAAAAATTGACGCTGACTTTTATTTATTGTAATGGCATACAAAACTATAAGTAAGAACCGATGTCGTTGGAACTTAAATGGAACTCTAAGATCATAATGATCTGCTTATAATATGATAATTTATGTGACAACTCGACAAATGAGCTGTTAGTTTATCATTTTAATATCGATTATACTTAATTAACTAAATAATATTTATTATTATTTTTATTGTTTTATATTTTATGTAAAAGAACATTAAACATGTATATTTAAAATATTCAAAACACCTAAAATATTATATAACATAATTAGACATTAATTCACGTTAATTTTTTCAAATCGAACAATTTTTAATTGGACCACTGTCCTATTATATTATATGTATGCTTTTTTTTTGTAGTAGATTTATATATATAGATATAGTATTTGTCCA